GATTTTAAAGAAAGAACTTTTGCTTATTCAAACATTTTTGATCAAACAAGAAGCACAACACATGCAACATTACGTATGGTATTTCAATATAAAATGCCTACTTTACTTTCAATTCTTTTAAATAATATTCTTTTTGTATCTGATATTTCAACTTTAAAACTTTAGGGTGAAAATATTAAATCTCAACAATTTATCCTTAATTTTTATCAAATTTTTGAAGACTTTTTACAATTTTCAGGTTACCACCAGCTAATGTGGTTATTTTAGAAGCTGGAAATGAACCAAATTCAAATGAAGGAATATTTGAAGCATGTGATATGTTTTTACAAGATTTTAATTTAGATAATAATAATTATATAGATATTGTTTCTGATGAGGCTATTTTTCAAAGAACTATACGTTATCTTGAAACCCATATACACACAAGAATAATCCTCGGTCAGTGACACACAAATAAAGCTATGTGTAATATACTTATAATAATATTTTCAGGGTTTGGAATATTTAACTTAGCAGCTGCTTTAGGAACTAAATTTTTAGATAAATTAGAAGCAGTAATTGATTATCGATCTACTTGTCGAGTATTAAAAATGATTTGGTTTGTAATAGGAGTTGGTCTTCATATTTATGTAAAAAAACATAATAAAACAATTGAGCAAGTAATAAGTGAAAATAATTTACTAAAAACTTGGTTTTTTTATTTTAAGTAGACTGAATGGTGGAAAGCACATTGAATTGGAATCTGAATAAGTAATTTTGAAATGCAATATGAATCACTTACTGCATTTGCACCACTTTTTCCCGTAACCGGCAAGCTTAATTATGCATCATCAGTTACTTTTTTTTAGCACATTTGGCAAAGCATCCTGAATTAAAAGAATTGTTAAAACATGCTTATTCAATTAATATTAGTCAAGAGAAACATTTTTTTGCATTCGATGAAGCCTTAGAAATATTTGGAGTTAAATATGTTAAACAAAATATATCTGAAAATTCCATTAATATAGAACAACTTAAAAATCAAATTAAAGCCATTCAAAGTAAAAGAGATCGAATTAATTTGTTTTTATTTGAGTTTTTAGATGATAATACTATATGTCAAGGTGATTGAGCAGTAATATCTCGTAAAGAAGCTATTTGGAATGTAATAAATCAACTTGTTATAGCATTTGATAATCCAATGAATAATTTTCTCTTTCAAGATATTTCTGGATTATCTAACATGACTGCAGAATACACATCTGAGGGATGTGATAGATTATTTAATTGTTATTCAATTGGAGAAGAACGTCTTAATGCTATACTAAAACAAGATGTTTTAAAGAGTGAAAAACGAGTTGCAACAGGTAAAAGAGCAAAATATATTGGGTATCATACAATAGAAAGTATGAAAAAAGCTCATAAAAATATTAGAGGTCGTGGTAGAGGTAAAACTCAAGATAGAGGAAGAGACCAATATGAAACAACAAATAAATCTTCAAGTATCTTTATTTCTTATTCTCAATCTTCTCAATCTTCTCAACCTTCTCAACCTATCCTTATTAATGACTCACAACATACTTTTAACATACTCTCTAATCCAAATAATTCCTTTGATTAAAATATTTTACTAAACAATACTTTGAATAATGTTCAGGAAGAACAAAGTATTTTTCCACAATCTAATCCTAATACACAAGTTCATAATATACAAGTTCATAATCTTCCAAATCTAATTAATAATTCTCGCCTAACCAAATATATCAAACGAACAACCTATACAGAAGAAATAACACTTTTAGAACCATTAGTAAATAATACAAATGAAGAAAATATAAATAATGTTATTCAACAATTAAATAATTGAAATATAGAAAATAATTATATTGAAAATGTATGAAATAAAAAGCATGTAATGAAATGGATAAATACATGAACCCGTAAAGTCTGGTTAGCAAAAGAAAAATAAGATCAGGCATTGTTATAATAAATCTAGAATATTTAATATAAACATTTAGCATTGTCTTAAAAAAAATTATAACTAATAAATTTTATATAAAGATTCTATACTTAACCAAGAAATTTCCTTTTTTTTTTTGGCCATTTCTCAATAATATACATATAAACTCCAAACCAAATTTTAACAATAATATTTCTCTATTAACTGTTAACTTTTCACGTAAAAATCTTTTAGAAAGAATCAATATTGGCAGAAGGATCTTGGTTTAAAGGTCAAAATGTCATATGAAAAACTTATATATTAAAATATTTAAGGAAACAATGTATTCCAATAAAATTAGTGTCTTTTAAATGTTTATAGGTCATACTTTTATATTATAAAAAAAGTTATATTTTTTTAAAGACTTTGTCATGTTCGAACCTGTTAAAGATTACTAATTTACGTAATACAAGATTTTTTAATTAGTGATTAGCGTTGGGTATGACATGTCCGGTGACTATTAGTAAAACTAAAGCCATGATGGCAGTTTTTACTAAGTTTTCTTAGTAAAACTGAAGCTGCGATAGCGGTTATTACTAAATTTTCTTAGTAAAACCGAGACCGCAGAGTTATTTTACTAAGTTTAATAGTAAAAATTCACCTGTTATTAAATTTACTTTGTAAAAGCTATTTTTGAAATTTTTTAGTACAATTACTAATAATTTTTTTAATTAAACCTTTATAATAACTTTATTTTAATATATCATTG